ATCTGAGCTTATAAATGGCCCAGCAAAGCTGTTTTTGCAGCAATAAATCCCAATATTTAAAAATAATACCCAAACAGTTGAACCACCAGTCAGTACAATTTTCTTGGGGTTTTTTTTGGGGGGGGGGCATTATAGAAACTTGTGAGGTTCCTGAAAAGTCTTAGAAGCATCATTCTACACTTTTACTAGCATAATTGGAGTTTTGTCAATATAACTAATAGAAGCACTTTCATTCAGGAAGGACAGATCCTTCTTGGCCTCAGAGCAGTAGATAGCATGGATGAGTTGCCCAATGAACAACTCATCCATGAAAGGTTCCCACTCTTAAGTAAACAATCTTAACAAATGTTCCCACCTCCCCATACAAAACAAGAGTGCACTTCAAAATCAAAGGCAGAAAACCTCATGCAACAGCCTTTAGCATTGCTTCCATTCAGGCATGAGAAGTGATGTGAGCCTGGAAGAAACGGAGCATGGGAAAGATAGAGCTTTAAGGCTGCCAGTTGGCCATTGATGCCTTAAAATATGGAAGCAGATCCCTAAGAATAGAAAAGGTATTAAAGCACAATGTTAAAGAATTTCCCTGTCTGCACTCTTCTCTCTCTTCTTAGGCAATGTTCATTATTTCTGCATGTCTACTTATGCAATAAATATTAAAAACTTTTACCATATTATTCAGCTTCCACATAACAGTGTACTTTCTGTGCATTGCAGTGCTTACTCTAAAATAGCCAAAAGAAAGCCAGAACTGATCTGGCATTAGTAGACTGAGTCATGAAGTCTGATATACTATTCAGCCTCAATACTTGTATCTTTCTGCTTTATATTAATGAGACAATATTAATGTAAATGTTAATGCTTCAGATTAGGAACATGAAAGCTGGCTGTACTTCATTGTATCTTCACATATAGTTGTCCACACTGTAAAGTCTGCATGCTAGTAAAGTAAAGATAGGGACAATCATTAACTACTTCATTCAATGCAGGTATCACACATTTAAAATATTGAGTTATCAATGACTTTGGGGGCTTTGTTTATCCAGTCCATGGAAATGTCTAGATCAGGCATGGGCAAACTTCCAGGTGTTTTGGACTTCAACTTCCACAATTCCTAACAGCTGGTGGTAGGCTGTTAGGAATTGTCAGAGTGGGAGTCCAAAACACCTGGAGAGCCAAAGTTTACCCATGCATCATCTAGATTCAAACTTGTGTTAAATATACCTGCACTGAAACTGTAAGAAACTGTTTTTCAACAGTAAACTTGATGGAAGGAATATGAAATTAAAATGACTTGCCATTGAGTAGTCATTATCATTTGACAGATTTAGCAACTGTAGACTTATATGGGACCTTAGAGAATCTAAACCATTAAGTAGCATCTTGATCACAGCTAAAACATAGTGTTTACAAATCAACAACTTTGTGAAATTCTTTCTGAAAGGGTAATGCAAAAGCACATACAATTTTTCATAGCATTGTTATTCCAATAAACATATCATTTTATGCACTTTTAACATGAGATTCAAGACCTTGTTTTTTCCCTATTTAAAGCATTCCTTTAAATGTGACTTGTTTCTTTGTATCTCACGTATTTAATAGTGTAAATTCCCACTGAACTCAGTGGGTCTTCTTTTAGGTGTCTAAAGATAAGGCCAATAGTCAGTGAACTAGACTATGAATGGGAATCTTTCAGTTCTCCAAATGCTGCTGATCTCCAATTTCCAGAAGCTCTATTCAACATATTCAGTTGAAAGGATCATGGGACACCTGGGAGACTACACACTTCCTATCACTGACCTAGAGAGACAATGCAGTTACTATTTTTTTACCTCCAAAGATAAAATTTACAAATCCCTTGAAGTGGATGAGTTAACATAGTATGTCAACACAAGTCCACTATGTTGCTCCAAAGAAAGTACTTTCTTCATTTTGAGCAACTATAATAGTTTCAATTTTCTAAAGAGGGAAAGAACAACTTCTTAGATGAAATCATCCTTTGCTCACCCAGAAGTAACTACATCCGGACTAAAGTTCCTGGACTGCAGCAGCCTCTTGCTTGCAGACCTGCAGTATATTAATTTACAATGAACACTGCAAGGACTAGGTGTTGGAGGAGAAGAGGAAATTTCAATAAATATCACTGGAAGAGGAAAGTAGTTCTCAATAATTAACTGTTCCAAGGCACACCCCTTTCTGACAGGACTCTGTTTTAACCTTCTGCGTGATTTTTTTTTCAAAGCAGTTTAAAAACTCTTCTAGGAGGAATCTGTATGATTGATATCATCTAAAAGTGGTGCAGTCTTATAATTCACTAACAAGATACTTTGGGGAGGTTCCTGCGATATGTGAGATCAGAGAAACTTCACCCCAGTATAGCCAAAGGTCCCATCTACACTGACTATGTACAACAGTTCAAAGCTAGTTCCAAATGGCAGTGGTTAGACAACAAAAACCCACAAGTGTTCCCTCAGCACTATGTGGGTTGTGCAGGGGCGGTTCATCCATTACGCAAAGTAAGCAGTCGCAGTACACTTTTTTTTTGCCAGGGGTGCAGAGGCGCCTCTGTAAATGCCCCTGGACCACCACTTGAGGAGCGTCCCCTCGGCTCACAACAGCCCTAGCAGTCCGGGGGAAGCCTCAGCAACCTATTGCGCAAAGTAAGCATTTGCAGTATAGTTGATTGTGCCCAGGGGTGCTCTTGAGGCGCTCTTGGGGGAAAATAGACCTTGACATATGCGAGTTGTAGTTACTGAGATGTATAGTTCACCTACAATCAAAGAGCATTCTGAACTCCACCAATGATGGAATTGAACCAAATATGGCACACAGAACTCCCACGACGAACAGAAAATATATATCAGTGATTAGTTGGGGGGGGGGGGCAAAATACTGTTTGCTTACCACTGAAAATTACCTAGGGCCGCCTCTGGGGTTGTGTCATCATCATCAGGACCTCAAACTGATTCCAGGATTTCCTGTGTCCTGTGTCCAGCCACTTTATTTATATTCCACCCTATCTTCCCCAAAGGGACTCAAGGCAGATTCCAATCATAAAATATTAACAACACAACATATAAAAACAAAATGTAACTTAACAACTGAAGTTAAATGAAAAATGCAACCTATTATATCAGACATGGAACAAAACATTGAGCAGAATTATCAATTTTCCAGAGCCAACAGAATTCCTTGGGGGCAGATAAGAATTAGCATTGCTCAAGATGTCTATTGAGCTAGTGGGGCTAACAGGGCATGGATATGGATAGCCACTATTAATCAGAGGTATAATGGCAGTATTGCCATCTATTCCTCCTCCTCCTTGTAAGCCAGTCAGTGGAAGTATGTCTTCAGCTGTTTCTTAAAGGCGGGAAAAGAGGGGGCCATCTTTAATTTCTTAGGAAGGGAGTTACAGAGATGGGGGGCAGCCACGGAGAAGGCCCTTTCTCTCGTTCCCACCAGCTGCACTTGGGATGGGGGTGGGACTGAGAGCAGGGCCTCCTCCAATGACCTCAGCATATCCAAGTTGGTCTGTAGTGGGAGATGCGGTTTGCCAAATTGTCTGGACCTGAGCCTTTTAGGGGTTTAAAGGCTTTACTACTGGGTTGAAACTGCCTTAAATGGATGAAGTATATGTCTCCCTTAAATGGATGCACTGAGAGCCCTCACCTCACCTGACTCTTCCTGATGGGTCAGAGCTTTCCAAATTGGGAGTCATGACATATTGGTGTGTTGACTGCAAAGTGTAGGTATGTTGCATGAACGTAATGAGGGCCCTCTGAGTCTATGTGAGGGAACCAATAAGACATTTTTTTTAAAAAAAAAAGCATAAATGAAAGGTTTACATGAGCTATACTGTATATATTAGAGTATAAGCCTAGTTTTTCAGCCCTTTTTTTAGGCTGAAAAAGTCCCCCTCAGTTTATACTCAGGTGAGGGTCCTGGCGGGAAGTTGTGGGGCTGAAAAAAGGGTGTCTTTCAGTCCCATGTCTTCCTGCCAGGACCCTCATCTCTCCACACAGCAACCCAGCTCTCCTTCCTCTCCAACTCTCTCACGCAGCACACACCTTCCCCTCCTTCTCTCTCAGTGCAACCTGCACCTTTCTCTCCTCTCACAGTGCCAGTCTTTCCCACTTTTCCTTATTCATATACACACAGCATTTCCCTCAACATGTATAGTCAAAATAAGCTATGGTGATAACTGGAAGCATACGTAAGCACACTTACATTGAAGAAGATTAGAATAATTAATCAGAGTTGGACACTCTTATCTTAAATTACATTTTTATGTAAATATACAAAAACAGTTACCCTCCTGGTGCCTCAATTAATTGGTATCTATTTTTCTTTTAAAATTTACCAGTAGCTGTTGCATTTCCCACCCTCAGCTTATACTCGAGTCAACAAGTTTTTGCAGTTTTTTGTGGTAAAATTAGGTGCCTCGGCTTATTGTCTTATACTCACGTATCTACTCAAATATAAATGGCTCTGACCCAGCTTACCTGTCCGGAGGTATCTCCCTGTATGAACCATCTTGGAGATTAAGATCAACTGGGGAGGCCCTGCTTATACTTGAATATATACAGTATAGTGTCCCAATACATTACAATTTATTTATACCTCAGTATCAAGTGTTGGTTTAACCCGGGCATGGGCCAACTTGGGCCCTCCCTCCAGGTGCTTTGGACTTCAACTCCCATCATTCCGGACAGCCTCAGGCCCCTTCCTTTTCCCCCTCAGACACTTAAGCACGGAAGGGGTCTGAGGCTGTTAGGAATGGTGGGAGTTGAAGTCCAAAACACCTGGAAGGAGGGCCCAAGCTGGCTCATGCCTGGTGTAGACCCATACTCCAGTCCATCTGCATTCTGAAGCTGCTTTATATGGCAGTGTAGCTCGAGCCCCCCCGATGGGACTCTGGAATAGAAAGGCTGGAGGGTCCCTGTTGGGATCCCCAGCGCCGCAAGGCAGCCCAAGGGCGGGGAGGGCAGTCTGGAGGGACTCACCGGGGGCGACCACGTGGAGGAAGAGTCGGGGCTGGGCGGCGCGGATGGCGGCGGAGAGGCGCCCCTCCCTGCCCTGGAAGGAGGCCCTCCTCTCGGGCATGAGCCGGATCCGGAGCCTGCCTTCCCCGGACCGGAGCCACCAGTGGAACTCCTCGCTGAGCGCGAACCGGAGCTGGCTGCCCTCCCGCTGGGCGCATCCGTCGCGCAGGTGCCCTTCCCCGACTTCCAGCACCAGCTGCTTGGCGCGGCGGAGCTTCCTCACCGCCGAGGAGCCCCCTCCGCCTCCTCCTCCTCCTCCTCCTCCTCCTCCTCCTCCGCCGCCGCCTTTCAGCACCTTGGACGGCGCCCGGGTCCTCCCAGTCCCCAAGGCCTCGGCGGGAGCTCCGCTTCGGGGCAGCCAGGCGCTGGCGACGCGGAGGAGCGGCGGGCAGTCGAGGACGAGGCTGCATCGCGCTGTGAAGCCTCCCTCGCCGCCCAGCACGAGCTCCCGCAGGTAGGTCCGGAAGAGCGACGGCACGATGAAGTCCATGGCTAAGCTCTTGCGCTGCAGGCGGGAGAAAGTGGGCGACGAGGAGGAGGACGAGGACGAGGACGAAGAAGAGGACGAAATCCCTGCTTCGAAGAGGACGAGGAGGAGGAGGAGGACCTTCCAAAGGGCTTGGGATGGAGGCATGGCGGGATCCACGTCGAGGCCGAAGGGAGGGACGGGCTACTCCTCTGTCTGCTTCGCCTGCATCGCTGTTTTCAGGCGCGAAGGTCCCGCCGCCTCTTCGTGCTCCGCTCGCCCCTCAGAATTGAGCACGGTGGGTTCCCCACTCCACTCCAAACAGGGCCACTTCCTCCCTTCTGGAGAGTCCGGCGTTTCCTCAGGAAGCCCTCTTTCCCAAACCCTGAGAGAGCTGGAGCGAAGAGGCGCCTTTTTTGCTCTCTTCGGACGGAGCTTCCCCTCACTCTTTCCCTCTCTCCCTTGTCGCCTCTTCTCTTTTGGCGGGAAAGGCGGGCCCCTCCAATTGCCTCTCCCTCAGTCGCCTGCCAAAAACGCCTTAGGCAGGTGCGGAGTCCTATCCGCCTCCTTTCCAAGTCTGGTCAGTGAAAAGGAGAAGGGGGGGGAAAGGAAGCGCCGGAGTTGTTGCAGCCACAGCCACCGCTGCTATTGCTACGGACCCCGGTTCTTTCTGGGCGGCGCACTTGCCGGGCTCTTCAGCCCCAGCGCCTGCCTGCCTGCCTGCGTCCCTCCTTCTCTCCTTCCTTCCTTCCTTCCTTCCGTCCGTCCGTCGGCGGGGATTTTTTCCCACAGGCTCCAACTACCCGCCACGCGCCGAGCCTTACCCGGGGAGCGCTGACATCACGCGCGAGCGCGGCTCCCGGCAGCCAATGGCCGCTTCGGAGGGGGATTTATTATGCAAATTAGCCCTGGGAGGCGGGGCGGACGAGCTGGGCTTGCTGTGCGGGAGAAGGAGGGGAGACCATTGAGAAAACGCGGCGAGGCTGCTTCTGCCCGCGCGCTCGTGCGTTCTCTCTCTCTCAATCTCTCTCAATCTCTGCCTGCCTTCCTCAACCCTCTCTGTCAATCCCTCCCTCTCGTGCTCTGTCCTTCTCTCCCTCAGTCTCCCTCTCTATATGTCTGCCTTTTCCGATTTCTCTCTATTCCTCCTTCCCTCTCTTTCGTTCAATCTCTCTTTTCTCTCTCCCTTTCTCTTCCCTTTTCCTGTCATCCCTCTCTCTTTCCGTTTTCTCTTCCTCTCTTTTACACACCCTGTCTCTCAATCTCTCTTCCCTCTTCCCTCTCTTTTTCTTTCAATATCTCTTTTCTCCCTCTCTCTTCCCTTTCCCTGGCATTCATCTCCCTTTTCTCATTTTCTGTTTCAGTCTCCCTCCCTCTCAGTCTCTCTCTCTCCTTGCCTTCCTACTTCGTCTTTCTTTTCTACCTCCATCTCTCTTCCCTTTCCCTGTCATCCCTCTCTCTTTCCCTTTTCTCTTTCAATCTCGCTGTCTCTTTCTCTCCTTTCCTTCCTTACTCCCTATCTTTCCGTCAATATCTCTTTTCTCCCCATCTCTTCCCTTTCCCTGTCACCCCTCTCTTTCGGTTTTCTCTTTCAGTTACCCTCTCTCTCAATCTCTCTCTCTCCTTTCCTCCCTCCCTCCTTCTTTCTTTCAATGTCTCTCTTTTCTCCCTCTCCTTTCCCTTTCCCTGTCATCCCTCTCTTTCTGTTTCTCTTTCTCTCTTTCAATCACCTTCTCTTTCAATCTCTCTCTCCTTTCCTCCCTCCCTCTGTCTTTCAATATCTCTTTTCTCCCTCCCTTTCTCTTCCTTTTCCCTGACATCCCTCTCTTTCTGATTTCTCTTTCTCTCTTTCACACACACTCTCTCAATCTCTCTCTCCTTTCCTCCATCCCTCTTTCAATATCTCTTTTCTCCCTCTACCTTCCTTTCCCTGTCATCTCTCTTTCCCTTTTCTCTTTCTCCTCTTTCATCTCCTGTCTCTCAATCTTTCTCTCCTTTCCTTCCTCCCTCCCTCTTTCTTTCAATATCTCTCTTTTCTCCCTCTCCCTGTCATCCCTCTCTCTTCCGTTTTCTCTTTCTCTCTTTCAATCACCATCTCTCTCAATCTCTCTCTCCTCTGCCTCTCTGTCTTCCCCCTTTCTTTCTCTCTCCCTCCACTTTCAGTCTCTCTCTTCTCCACTTTCTCTTTTCCCCTTCTCTCTCTCTTTCTTTCCATTTCACTGATGGCAGAACAGGCTGCCTTGTTTTAGGCAAATGAGAGAGAGAGAGAAAGAAAGAGTCCTTGGAGGCGAATTTGCAATCATGCACTTTCCCTAATTATGCATTAAAAGATTAAGCAGATCGAGCAAAAGGAGGCTTCTTTAAAAGGAGGAGAAGAAGGAGAAGCCCATTGGTGTGAAATAGTACAAGCTGTGTCTGGGAGGCCTTTAATTCACCACCTCCGTTATTGCCTGTAACAAAATATAAATCACCACCGAGGAGAGAGTGGGGGAGGAAAAGCGGGGGGGGGGGGGGGGGAGGCAGACCCTGGCTAATGTACAAGACAAAGGTAGAATAAAGCAAGGCTGCGAAGACTACCACTTCGGCACACTGGAAGGAAGGAATACATTTGGGAATAAATAATAAATGCAGGTTGAGTGTCCTTTTTCCAAAATGCTTAGTACCAGACATGTTCGGGATTTTTTTTAAGATTTTGGAAATCTGTATTTGTGTACATGTACATAATAAGATACTGGTATCTTGGAGATGAAACCCAAGTCAAAACTTGAAATTCATTGATGTTGCATATATACGTGGATTGATGGAGGCTCCTTCTTTCAAGGCTTTAAACAGAGGCTAGATGGCCATCTGTCAGGGGTGCTTTGAATGTGATTTTCTTGCTTCTTGGCAAGGGGTTAGACTGGATGGCCCTCAAGGTCTCTTCCAACTTGATTCTATGAAGGTAAATGTATACACAATATTTTTAATAACTGTGTTCATGAAACAAAGTCTGTGTATATTGAACCACCAGAAAGCAAAGATGCCACTCTCTCAGCCATCTATGGGTACAATTTCATATTTTGGAGTATTAGGGAATTCTACAAAAGGAATTCCTGTATTCCAGAAGGTAGAACTAGCAAGCATGGAGGAAGGTGAGCTTCCATGGTTCAAAGGTGTATTGAGGCCCTATTGCTGCCAATCTGAACCCGGGATTTTTATTGCCTTTGCCTGGTTCCTTGGGGAGATAACTTGCTTCAAGCAACTTCCTAAGAGTGAGCATGGCTGAAGTATATGAGGATGCCATGAGGAAATGGCAAATGTATTGTCAAAGGCAACACATTGCCTAGTGTTGGAATATAGACAATCTCATTTACCTAATTTCCTATTTATTTATTTATTTACTAACTGTACCAGCCACGTGTTGCTGTGAGCAACCTTCCCTCCCTCTTTCTCTCATTCTTTCCCTCCTTTCTTCACTCCCTCTTTCCTTCCTTCCTTCCTTCCTACCTTCCTTCCTTCCTTCCTTTTTCTTATTTCCTTCCTTCCCTTTTTCTTTTCCTTCTCTTTCTCTCCGTTCTTCCTTCCCTACCTCTTTCCTTCCTTCCTCCTTTTTCTTTTCCCTCCACTTTCTCTCCTTTCTTCCTTCTCTACCTCTTTCCTTCCTTCCTTCTTTGCTTCCATGCTTCTTTCTCTTTTTCCTTCCCTCCCTTTCTCTCCATTCTTTTTTCTCTACCTCTTTCCTTTCTTTGCTTTTTGCTTCCATCCTTCCTTCTCCCTTTCCTTCCCACCTTCTTTCTCTCCTTTCCCTCCTTCCTTCGCTCCCTCTTTCCTTCCTTCCTTTTTCTTTCCTTCTCTCCTTCCTTCCTTCCTTCCTTCCCTACATCTTTCCTTTCTTCTCCTTTTCTTTTCCTTCTTCTTTCTCTCCTTTCTTCCTTCTCTACCTCTTTCAATCCATTACTTCTTGCTTCCATACTTCCTTCCTTCTTTCTCTCCCCCCCCCCCCCTCTTTCTCTCTCTCTTTCTTTCTTTCTCCCCTTCCTTCCCTTTTGTCTGTACCATCATTTAGCTTTTCACCATTTAGCTTTAATGGGGTTTTAAGTCCTTTCTGCTGTTTTCTTTTCTTTTTTTTTTTTGGGGGGGGGGGTATGAGTGATGGTCACACGTTGGTCTGTTAGGGTTATAGTGTCCAAATTTGTTGTCAATTCACCCAGTGGCTTTTGAGTTATGTTAATCCCATAAACTAACATTAGATTTTTATACATTTATTGAAATAGACATACATTTGTTTGTTGTGTACAGTGCAATATTTCCCAGCTATATCTTTTTAAAGGGGCCACAGTCTTCTATCTGAATAGTACATACAAAGGAATCACAGGCTCTAAAATAGTATTTGCTTCCTCCTTGCCTACAACCTTATAAAATCCTCTATGTACATTTTTAGTTTAATTTTACATTGAGATGCTGAATCGCTGGTTGCCATTCATTAACAAAGTTCTCTAAAAGTTCTCCTCTCAAGAGTACAGTTATTTTGTCCATTATTAGCAAATCTGTGATGTATTTTTCCCATTCTTCTAAGGGGGGTACCTCTGAGGTTTTCCAATATCTAGCATATACTATTCGGGCTGCCACTGTCATATAAAACAATTTTTTTCTGAATTCCCTTTCTAGTGGCATGTTCAAAAGGTACATTTGTGGTGTCATTTTGAAGTTTGTATTTAACATCTTTTTGAGATATACATGAATCTGTTTTCAGTAGTTTTTTACTTTGTTGCACATCCACCACATGTGTTAAAATGTGCCTTTTTCTTTCCCACATTTCCAACCTTTGTCAGTGCAATTGTACATCTTCACTAGCCTCTCTGGAGGGAGATACCAACGTAGATGCACTTTGTAGACATTTTCCTTCAAGTTCTGACATGCCATGTATTTCATTCTTCTTTTCCATGTCTTTTCCCATTGAGCCATTTTTATCTCTTGGCCTATATTTTGAGCCCAACTAACCATCGAGCCTTTTAGTACTTCCTCTTGCCAAGTCAGCAGATTTTTGTATATATATCATATAAGTCCATTTGTTTTCTGGAACATTGCCACATCAAACCATGTTTTCACAGTCTGGAAGCCCAAGGTCCTCAGTTGTTCTTCAAATTTCTCATGCAGCTGTCTATACAGAAGCCAATTGCATTTAGGGCCCATTTGGTTCCATTTTTCTAGGGGTTTCATTCTGGATTTTCTAGTTTCCAACAGACCCCTCAACCTCTGAGGATGCCTGCTATAGATGTGGGCAAAACTTCAGGAGAGAATGCTTCTGGAACATTGCCATACAGCCTGGAAAACTCACAGCAACCCAGAAATAGCAACTGTTGAAGAACAGAGGTTAACCATGATAATTTCCAGAGTCACTGCCAGCAAGGAGAGCCTAAAATTGCAGGCAGCTGTCTTGATCCACTTCAATAAACTGAGTTCCAGAGTCTTCATTTCCAGTAGAAGCAAATCTTTTGTAAAGTTAATGGGTTGTCATTCCAAGACCATTACAATACAGGCAACTCATTAGCATATATTGTTGGTGAGACAGTCAATTTCTACCCCAGTAACCGTGAAATGTGAAACTAGCTCAGAGTTGACCAGGATGGAGATAGTTAAAAGTCTGAATCTCTGATAACACAGATCAATAACAACAAACAAATTCTCAGTGTCTAAACTTTTAGGTCTGTCCCTGGGGTTATTTGGGGCACTGACTCAGAAAATAGCACATATTGTTGTCATGATCTTCTGTGGGCAAGCAGATGTGGAATTTATGTTTTAATAGATTTGAACTGTGAATGTTTAAAACTGTATATGATTTTGCTTTAATG